AGAAGGCAGCAGAAGCTGCTTTTCTTGTATTATATCTTCAGCTTGTATTTGCATCTTGCACTTAATCGTTACTGACTTAATACTAATGATGAGCAAAGTATATTTGATAAAGCCCAGAAAGAGCAACTGAGAATACGGCAATTTGGAATGCCTGCAAGCAGATTATATTTTTTTAAGTTATTGTTCTTACTCGGTTAGTTTACCCTATTTTTAGTTTACATCCGCCTCCCTGAGCCAGCAGAACGGTGGGAGAACAGGCTGGATTTTCTTTTGATACACGCGTTGATATTGGAACTGTTTGTGAAACCTTTACCTGGAGACACCCACCAGAAACATTCAGTTACAACTTAACTGCTCACAAATTTACCTGTTTGGGTCAAGGTTACTGAAGGTAATGCAGAAGACAACATGATTTTCATTGTTCACAATGTTCACTCCCTGAACCTCTAAGAGAAGACCTTGGCAGCCCTTAACATGGTCTTTCACTCACAAAGGGTGGTCATGCTTCAGAAACTCGGCGCGTATTTTCAGTTCCTTCTCAAGAGTTTTGATAGTGTTTTTCCCTTAAATGTTCCTTAAAACCGATGTCAGCGTCTCCTGCTCTGCAATTACTGTTTGCCAATATCAGGAGCAGGTTCCCAAAATAATCTTTCCTCATACGAGTAGATCTTACCCACGTGATTTGTTCCACTGAAATCAGTTACCTGTTTTAAATACTGCCCCTGAGATAAAAGGAGATTACCGCACCAGACCTCCCGCGGCATTTGCCTGCCACCTTACTTGAGAAGGTTTTATAAGGACGGGCCCAGCCTGCTCTGCCGGGTTCTGCCGTGGTTAAAGAGGTGATGGCCTTTGTCGATGGCCCAGTCTCAGATGATGATACAGCCGCTCTCTCTACCGAGGGGACAGCTTGTCTCTGTCATGTGGTGAGGGGGGTCGTGTAGCTGCGTGAACCAAAGGAAAAAAAAAAGGCAAAAAAAAAGGCAATCCCAGATTAGCTCCTTCCACGAGCACAAGCGGCACGCCGGGATGCTGTGGGCAGAGTGCCCGTGGCAGCGGTGCTGCGGCGTGGATGGGTCCGCATCTGCCCACTTGAAAAAAATATTTCCATCTTCCTTGCTGTTGTGTAGAAAAACGCAACCCAACGAGCAAACATACAGAAAACAAGCAAGCACCACCACAACTGGTTATTTCCTATTACTGGCTGTAGACAAAAAGAGAGGGTCTGGCGGTGCTTTTGCCCTGTTATCTCAGCGGTATGACTCCTCTTCCTCTACAAATCACCGACCGCTTTCCTTTTAATCCGCTGGAAACACAAACTCTGAATGTTTGCCCGCTGACTAGCAGCTAAGTTAAATGGCTACAGCCGCCGAAGGGACGTAAAGGGTCCCGGCTGCGGCACCAGCCCCAGCTGCCCACCACGCTGGGGTCGCCGGCTCATCGGGGGCGGTGGGGGGTTACGGAGACCTTACGGGGCAAACGGAGCTGCGAGGCGTTCCCTAGGAAGCCCCCCTTTACCTGCCTTCCCTCTTTTAACGTCCTCGAGCTTACTGAGCACCATTCAGTTATTCTGCAAGTTTGTGAGAATGCAAGTAAGACATTATACAAACTTGCGATAGAACGAATGGCTTCTGGTCGGCGAAGGTGACCAGATACGACGTTCTCGCGTACGTTCATTTTTAGGAAGTGAGTTTAATGATAACTGAATGCAGGGTCTTCATTCCCAGGAAAGAGGGCTTGCATTGCAAGAGTTTTTTAACATCTTCTGAAGTAAATATCGCTAACAAGTTCTAATATTACAATGACCTCTCCATTTATGACCTACAATAGGCTTTTCTCTAGCCACCACGTATTAACAATACAGTAGCGATGTGGCACGTCGACTGCTGAGATGAAAGCCAGGTCTCCCTGCTGACACCAGGTGTAAGGTGCTTATGTCACCAAAGGGAACCGCAAAGTGTGAGCACCACGTAAATAATTTTCTATTCCTATCTGTTAAAGCTCTAGAAACTGGAAGAGTTATCAGCCCGAACACTCTATAAACCACCTTGCAGTTAACAGAGAAGGGCAACAACAATAATCAAAGTTGTGGACCAGCTCTATACGAGGAACAAATAAATGAGGTAAAGCTCTTCAGCCTGGAAAGCGTGACTGGGGGGAGAAAAGAGAGAGGCAGGGAACAGGTGACCAGGGATGAATTTACTGAAGCTTCCAGTACAAGAGCATAAAGTAGTACAAGGAGGGGGCAGGTGCTGAACAAACAAAATGAGATAATTCATCTCTGAACTCGCCCTTAGGCTGTAGAGCACCCTGCTACGGGATGATGCAGATCTCCGAAGCTTACCTTGGCTGATTTGACGTGCTTGACTAATCACGAGATGTAAATGCCTAGAAAATAAGGAAGGCACAGATGAAGGGAAAAATCTGTCAGAGAAAGACAGAAGTGCGTTTGCACAAAGTCTTTCTCTAACCGTCTGATTATTGGCAAAACTATAGCGAACTTCTAAAAGTACTTTAATGGATTAACCAAAATGAAAAAGCTGCTATGTAAATTACTTGCTGTCTTCTCCCAAGTTTAGCGATTAGTGACAAGAAACTGGAAAGAGTACAAGTAATTATATACAAACTGAAAGAGGTTTGACAAATTATTTCTGGTTTTTAATCATTTCTTGAAATACTTTATCTTATGCTCTTATATACAAACCAAATGGTCTCACCTTATTTTACTCATGTTTTTGTTAAGCTCAGCAACGTTTTCTCTAGGCCAGACAAAACGAAATAGTACCGGATACTCAGTGGGAAGCTATTGCTGTATTTCCCTTGATCTGTCAGCACATGGTATTTACGCATTTCCCTACGTGGCTTTGATAGAATATTGCTGATTTTAATCTATTGTATTTAATGTATTTTCATATCCAGTGACTCAGAGGTCGCAGAGTAATGGGAATATTGACAGGTCTGGTTCGGAGCCCTTGGCCATAAAGTGAGCTTTGATGGTGAGCGTTTACAAAAGCTGGACCGACGGGAAGCTAATGGAGGTGGCTCTCCATTGAGCAGAGACCAAAAGAAGAACCTTGGTGTCGGAAAGGCGTTTACACGGGTGAAAAGCACCACCGTGTTTGCCTGGGGGGGGGGGGGGAAGATATCTTCCTGCAAACCAGGCCTATTTTCTTCAAATAATCTCCAAGGAAACAGCCTCTGCCAAGCTAGGATCTGATTACCAGTTGCAGGGCTCAGACCATAGCCATTATTGTTTTAACTTTTCTGCCTTCCTCTTTATCCCAGCGGGAGCCGGGCTGTATGGGCTGCCGTGTGACTTGACCTTGCTTGGAGATAACAAGGCAGGTTAGCACACAGCGATCGCAAAGCCAGGAGCAAAAAGACAGTATTTAGAAACTACAGGAAGGATCTGGCACGGTATGATTATGTGTAATGTGCTGCACTGTGCGGCGTGGGTGGCCCGACAAACAGTTCCCGTCCACAAAGCTCAGACAGAAACTTGGACTTGGTCATAGTTTCTCCATTTTTAACCTCCTCTGTGCAGAGATGCTGTGATTTTCATCACTGAGATACTAACGATGATGATTTCCTGCAGCATTTGAGATTATGAAAAAAAAGGCAAGAAAAATGGACGGGGGGAAAAAAAAGAAATCTACATAAAATTTTAGTGTTTTCAGTAAGGAAAATGAATAGTAAGTCAGCAGAAAGAGCTGGATATGAATCTTTAAGACTTTGACGGTGTTTTACTGCTGTCCTCTGAGCTTTCCATGCAGCAAGCCAGTGAGCCCAGAGGGCAGCAGCAATTAGGCATGACATGTCTGAAAGCGTCTCAGGAATGCTAAAGAAAAGAAATGCTCCGTGATTAAACATTCAGCATCTAAAAGCTGGAAAAAAAGTGTAAAGGGGAAGAGCGATGCTGTTGGGCCCAGCCATGGGTGCTCAGGCCGGTCGGTGCGTGTGCCGGCCGTACGTCACACGAGCGGTCACCGTCAGACCACAGCCCCAAGCTCACGACGGAGGAGGCAGAGCAAGCGATAGATTTCCTTCGGCTTGTCTCAACCACCACCTCACCTCACAAAAACAAAGCAGCCCAAAACTTAGCTATGATTTTGTGAAGATTTCAAGCCAAGAGCAGTAAAAGTGTGGTTTTTTCGTATCAGACCATATGGCAGATAATAAATATCTGAGGTTCTGATCGCTGATAACTTCCTACACACGCATGGGCACAAAATACAATTTCTGTAATCAAGCTGCCTGACAGATAAAGCCACGTCATTCTTCACTCATCCTCGCCCTCTCTCTCATACCTTTAGGGTACAACTCTTCAGGGCAAGCGCCCTGACCACAGCGAGAGCACTGGCGTGCGGTTGCCGCGTGTGTCAGACCAGGGACGGGCACTGCAGCCCAGGTCCCTGCGGTTAGCTGGGACTTCTGGTTGCACTCCTGCCTTTACTTTGAACGGCTCCTCAAAATTATACAGGTGTCTGATTAAAAACACAACAGAACAACCTGTAGTCCCAGTTATCTGTGCCGATCTCAGTGGAAGGAACTGGTGCTTGTGAAGAGGTGCCTCACTTGCAGCCTTCTAAATCCCAATTAGTTTTTTTTCCAGCTGTTATTTACAGCAGCAGAATACATTTTGCATCTTGGGCCTCTGGAGTCATTGAGACCAAACTGAGGATTAAAGCTGCTTGGGCCATCAAACCCGACTTTGTTCTGCAAACAGAAAAATTACGTACCTGCACCCACCTCAGAAGTGCTTGAGCTTCTCAACAGAGACAAAGAATTAGGTTGCATGATGTCTTTGGAAAGCTTTTTTTCCTCATCGTTTTACCTTGTGTGAATTGTGTATGCTCAGGGGTGACCAAAAAGTGAAAATCCCCGGAGAACAAACCCGCATTGCGCCTGGTTACAGCATCCTGCCACAGTTAAACGGTTCTTTTTGAACTGCTTGGCGGAAAAAACAAATTGACTTTCTCTGTGTTTTTTCCTCCTTCCAGACTCTGACGGCACCTGCTCCGTTTGCAGACGAAAGCAGCTGTCAGTGCCAAGCCCCCCACGAGAAGCTGACCATCGCACAGGCCCGCCGGGGAACGCCAGGTAGGTGCGGCGAGGTACGGGAGCGGGACGGCGGTGCCCCCGGAGCACCGGCTCGCCCTACCAACAGCTGCCAGGGCACGCGTCTGCCTTCACCGTGGGAGCGGAAAGGCCAGCCTGGTACCTGGTGCCGTCAGGTGAACCGGCAACTACGGGACCATCATCTTCTGGTAGGGAAACAGCAGGAGGAAACATTTCCAGGTGGAGTTTGAT